ATCAGTATCATGTTTTTCATTCAACTCCTCACTTGTGTATACTTAATCGCTAGTAAAGAATTAACTCAAATGTTGGTGCTTGACTTTTTAATCTTCCTTAATTTAGGTAGAGTTTCATGCTCTTAAAACACTGCATCTCAACATACAACCTTTTTTTACTAGATTTAGTAACTTACACCCAAGCTCTATATCGTCACAGCTAAGAAAAATACACGGAATGGACTTGTCATACACCAATTTTGTCTTATTAAAATATATGTATATATATAAAAGGCTTGCAAATAACAATCTAGACTAAAAGAAAAAAAGGGAAAAATGAAAAGAAACAAAAAAAGCCTAGCCAGCCTAAGATGTCCAGTTGAACACCCCTGCATGCCCTAAAATATTAAAGTTTCGTGTATACTCTATAACAACATCAATCCGTTTAAACTTAAATATAAAGCCCTAAGGGTTTATGGTTCTAAAAAAAGAAGAAGAATAATGGGGAATCACGACAATTGAGGTGAGAAGGAGAGGCATGCACAACTCTTGTTGGAAAAAATTAATCTCTAAAGTATGCACAATCTCATCAAAGTAAAAGCAGAAAGAAAAGAATACAAGGATTTTACGTAGTTCGACAATATGTCTACATCCACGGACAAGACTGGTAAGAAAGAATTCAACTATGTAATCTAAGAGTACATCACTAATAGGTTAGCAAACCTATTTATAAAGAGACTAATAGAGTTTTTTACAAATAAAACCTCTTTAAGATATATATAAAATATTCTCAGAGATAAATACAAAGAAAATTCAAATAAATTATTTTCAAGAATAAATGTAAAGAAAATCTAAATAAATTATTTCCATAATATAGATAAATATCACTAAAATTAAAGACACATCAATAACTCTAAAGAAAGGAGACTGTGCATGGATGAGAGGAAATTTGACTTTTTCAAGATCCATGAAGGATATGAGAAAATGAGATTTATAGAGATCAATTCAATAACTAATACATAATAGATAGAGATTCATCTTAAAATGACTAAGGTAGATTAGCCATGTGGAACATACTCTAATATTTTCAACAACAGTTCTATTAATCCTATTAGCAACACCATTATGTTGTAGGTTATAAGAATTGTCTTCTCATGTTTGATATAATGATATGAACATTATACTTCAAACTCTGTTGATGTATAGTCACCTCCATTATCACTACAAAAACACTTCAAGTGAGCATATTTCTCTTTTTTTACTATGACATTAAACTTTTTAAAATATAAAAGAATGACAATGGGGTGGTTTGTTGGACAAGTTTTAACAAAAGTTAATGCGCCCCAATTAAAAAAAATTTTGCTTTAATGCCTTAAACCCAATGTGAGTTAAAAAAAAAAAAATTTGATTTTTTTCCACATTGTATAGGTTTACAATGAACACTCTTCACCTTGCCTTGGTTAGCTGAATATGAGATGGAAGACTCTTGGTGAGCTGTAAAGCTGAAGATAAAAGACTCTTTACTATCTGCAAAGCCAAAAAGATGTTGAGAAGAAATGTCGAGTAGCATTGGAATGCCAAGTATGAAGGTGCAATAGAAGTTATGACTCTCGTGATAACCTTATAATTTGAGAAGCTAAAAGTGAAAATCATTTAAAGAAGAAGATTTAAATGATGAGATGATGGAAGAAGATGCAAATAATGAGATGAAGGAAGAAGATGATTACATGAAGATGGAAGGAAGAAGATAAAGGAGGTGACTTACTTGTTGATGACTGGTGTTGTATGTGTTGATAAGATTATGAAGTGGAGTTTACAGTGGTGGAGTGTGTCAGGGTTTTTAAGTTTCCTTTATATAATTTTAATATAAAATATATTTTATATTTCTTACTAATAAATAGTGTTAAGTCAGGTTCTATGAGTTTTTGCAAATTATGTTCGAATCTACCTTGCCCTAGTTTGATAGATGAAAAAAAACTCCCTCTAACTTGACCTGGTCTAGTTTAATTTTGGTTTAAATCTGAATCGGTCTCTAACGGGATAAATAATTTTGGCAGGGTCATATAATTTTTGCCATTCATAGAAGTACTCAAAAAGTTACTTTTCTTTTTCTTCAAAACAAACACCAACAACTTTCATGAAACATCATTAACAAAAGTCACAAAATATCTTCTACTATACATACTTTTAATTTCGAAGAAGTTACATAGATCATAGTAAATTAAATCAAATATATAATCTTTTCTTTTGAAGATACTAGTAAAAGAAATCAATGTTGCTTTTTTAATAAACAAATATTACAAAAGTTTAAATTCATATCTATGGTGAAGAAAATGAAAGACTTTTTTACCAAAATTTATAAGCTTTTGTCACAACATGAACAAGTCTATTATGGTAAATGTTAAGTGAAACATCATCCTCAACTATGCTCAATTCACAATCAAACAACTTTAATAAGAAATACCTCTAGCCATGACCATAGAACCCTTTATTAACTTTTATTTTCTGATTACTAATGTAGCTGTATTAACCATTCAAATCTAAAGAGAGAGTTGATAATTAATTCAAGTATAGACTCGGTAGCTATTATACATCTTTTAGAGTTAATGTGTAATCCAAGTCAATCTCTACTCAAATGTACAATGGTTACTGCATCTGTATGACTAGTATTGCTCATCTTTAATAATTCAAATTTTCCTATATTATACTCCAAAAAAATTCACTTATGAGTGTATTATGGTAACATGCTCTTAAATCAACGATCGACTCAAAATACTTTATTTTTAGTCTTCTCATCACTCTGTTCTTTCTTAAAAGACTGTTTTTTCTTTTAATATTATCATTTTTACTACAGTGATAATATTTGATTTTTTTATTGAGACTTTTCTCCGAATTTATCTCGCCTTTTAGGATCTATACTCTTGTTCTTACATTTGTTCTCTACCATAAAAACCTATGAAGAATCTATACCAAGATGGATATTTGATCTTTTTATTTTTCATACTATCTTTTACTATTTTTAAGTTGATAGCACCATTGGGAATAAAATTATTAAAACTCATAGCCAATATTTTCTAACTATTAAGCCAAGAACTCAATAAAAGTAAAATCTATAATTCATCATTGAGCTTTTACCTTCCTGATGCCTAATTAATTTACCAAAACCTAAAAGTTACTTAGATGTTCTCCTACAGATCGCCCTTTTTTAAACTTCAAGTTTACCAACTTTACCGCTATTATGAAGATAAATACTATACTTAACCCATTATTTAATATTTTCTATAGCTTTTATGTAGTTTCTCTCAATCATCTTTAGATTTTCCATTAGATTTATTTTTTTCTTAATTTAATATGATCAAATAAATCCTTATAGTACAATAATTCTCCATCATTGATTTCTAAATTTAGTAATTTGTATATAGAATTTAATCATTGAATCTACTAAATTATTCATCTTAATTCACATAATTAAATATTACACTCTATTTTTATGACACAAATAACATTAACTTAATCAAACCCAATAAAAAAATTAAACACACTACAAGAAATAAATATTGTAAAAGGAAAGTACACAGAAGACCCTTCAGTGCAAATGAAAAAAACTACTGACTAAACTCTGAATAAATCCACCAATAAAAAAATAATAAATATAATTAATCACAAATTTAGATTTTCTAGTTAAGATATACCTAAATTATTTCTCTGATCTATATCTTATAAACTTTAATTTTTGTAAATAAAATATTAGAGACAGTTTCTAAAATATTTTTAAATAATGAATACCAATTAATTTCTTAATCTGGATGCATGATTAAGAATAAATACAACAGAAGCCCTAGAAACCAAAAGCCACCATAGAAGCATTCTAGCCAGCAGTGATTTAAAGAAAATTTCCAGTTGTAATTTATGACCAGATTTTAGCCAATTGGAAGACAATGCATTTGCCTTAAATTAAAGTATGAACAGAACCATATTTTGTGAAATAATTAATGATCGAAACTTTAAACATATAGAAAATAACTTGAGACACTCTTTTTAGGCAGATTAATGAAAAAAGAAAATTGAACAATCTAAATTTTTTTTTTTTATTAGAAAACAAAAACTTAAAGTGGAATTTGCAAATAGAAAATAAAATTGCATGCAAGTTTTTTTAACAAAAACTTTTGCATTTTCTTAATTACTAAACTAATAATATTATAATAAGTAATAACACAAAATTCTAACAGTTTATTTACTTGAATATTCACCCATTATTGCAATTAAATTTTTTAACAAACTTAATTATGGATATATATATATATATATATACACACACACACTCACACGTCTGATATTATCTTTATCTGTAAAAATAAAGATTTTCACCTCAAATATTTAGAGTTCTGGATCAAAATGATTGGTAAAGCTGAGGATTTCTGTCTTTTATGCTCTGAATCAACAATTATCTATTAGTTATATATACAAATACTACCATAATGAAGCTTCAACTTACAACTTTATTTGGATGTAATGTTCTTACTATAAATGAGGAAGGTATGTATGTACATATGTATTTGTGTTAAAGAATGGCTTATTTTCTCGTTTTTAAATATATGTTTAAAGAGAAGAAAAATAATAACGAAATATAAAAAAACAGAAAACCAATTTCGGTGATAAGTAATTTCCACTGGGAATCTTTCAATCCTTACAGATCATATCCACAGTTCTTATAACAAAACATTATGAATTAGACCACACAACCGAACTTTATAGTTTGATTTTGACCCTTTTTTCCTTCAGTTATTCCAATATTTCTCAACCAAAAAGGTCTAATTAACGACAATTGTAAAATGTAACTAAAAACAACAAATTTATTGCCATATATAATTCAAAATTTTCCCCTCAGTTAAAGGGAGAAAAGAAAACATAATGTTTCGCACTAATAATCTGATTTTCGCGATCGGCAATTGCTTGACTCTTACGATAGGAATTGGTTTGATCTTCTTCTCTATAAATGCTGGTCATAGGCACACGTCCAAATGCCAGAGATCATTACAGTTCCCAATTTTTTGGACCGGTCTGGTTATGTCGGTCTTGGCTCTGCTGGGTGTGATATGTTCTTTTTGCAACACTGATAAACTCCTCTTCGTTTTCGTCGCTTTTGTATTTTTTTGGACTATCGGCCTTATTATTTCTGCTATCATCTTCATTTCTCTTACAAACGTAGGTCACCATGGTAAGCCATTTCACCTTGATGAAGCAAATTCACTGCAGAAAGGGTTTTTTAAGGACATAAACTGGCAACGTTTCAAGACATGTTTTGTCGAACGAGGCATATGCAATGTAACCACAAACGTCGCTGTAGACCCCGTCCACAATCCTGTGCAGGTAAATTATGTATACAAAATATCTTCAACTTTTCTTCCTGTATGTTTTATTAATAAATTTTTCATATTCTCTAAATTTCTCATCTGTACCATACTTTTCAAGTCTTGTTAATTAGACGTGGTGATAAAAGTTTTTATTTTCTAAATTCCAACATGTATGTACAATTTGTCAAAAGTGAAACAAGCTTTGAAAATGACAACATTTATGATCTGAGTTCGAATATTTTGTTTGTGATTTTATCAAGTAGTTTACATAAATCAGTGGATGTCAAATCAAAAATATATAGCATGTGAAATTGTAAGCTATGTATCCGTGTATGTACTTATATATGTGTATATTTGTGTAAAATACATATATACACATATATATAACTATACTTCTGTATAAAATACAAAGTATTAAAACACTATTTCTGTCAGAAGAAAAAAAAAAGACAGAAACTCTTCCACCAAGAAATTAATCATACTGAAAAAAACACGTTTTTTTTTTGTTTTTATATAATCAAGTGGGGATGCTGTAGACCTCCATTATACTGTGGATACGAACAAAAGAATCAAACATTCTGGGAGATACCAGAAGTTAATAAAGCTTTGGGAGCTAAAGATACTGGGGAGTGCAGTATATGGAGCAATAGGCTGGACATACAATGCTTCGATTGTGACACATGCAGAGCAGGATTTCTCATCATCCTTCACAAGTACACCGAGCTCTTAATCATGTTAGCCTTCATTGAAATTCTCTTCAACATATTTGTCTTCTCCACCATCTTCCACAATGAGAGAAAAGCTCGGAAGCATAAATATGGCGGTCCACCAATCTCTCCTATTATACTCTAGTCATCTCATTATATTGTTTAGATCAATTTATAAGGTATTGTTAGGGAGTCGCAATAAGAACAGATATACGTACAATGTCTAAGAATTTTCTCCCCAAGGTAATTCCTCAATATTGAAAGATGGGTATAGTAACGTGTATTTGTATTTTTCTGATCATACGTTGGAGACCCTTTAATTAGTATATTTGGATTTCGGATTGAATTAGGAATTTTTTTTTATTTTAAAGATTTTTAGAGTAAATTTTACTTGACCCAGTAAGTTAAATCTAGTTGTGTATTATTATTATTAAAAAGAGGATTACCCAAACCTAACTTGCTTGGTCCTGTGTATAAAAGTTGACTATTGAATCTTTTATTAATTCATAACGGTGAAAATTTGGAAAATAAAATATTATTGGTCAAATTAGTGGTGTAAAGATGTTCTCTTAGGTTATTATTATCTTACTGTTTTGCACTTATTTTTCTTTTCAAAAATTTCTAAATATCCAAGTGGTATCTCATATGTTGTTCGTACAAAGTTTTCTTCAGTCTAAGCACCTCGTCTAATGGCTGATAATAAGATGTCTCCTTTCCATCACAGGTATAAAGAAAAATAGACTTTTTAGTAAAGAAGTAATAAGCTTTGATAGCTCGTAAATAACCACAAGAATATCATGAAAACCTAAAGTTCATATACCACAACTCTAGGTTCCAAAAACCAATGTGCTAGCAAAATAACCAAAGAATTATGATTACTCAGCTTTTGTATATCAGCAAAATGCCAAAAAAATTATAATTAATAAGAGAAAAGCATGCTAGATATCCAATCAATGAATCTTCCAATAGTTTTAAGAAATAAGAGAAATCTATCATTGAATATACAGTCTCCAACAAAGCAATAAGAGAAAATACCTTTTGATAATCAATAACTTGTTTATGTTTCTATTCTTTAGCAATAAGCCTTGCATTGTATCTCAAAATTGCCTTTAAAATTTCCTTTAACTTTTAACATCTATATGACTTAAAAATCTTGTTGACTATCTTGAAGTGAGACAAGCTCCCAAGTGTCATTCCTTTTGATGATTTGAATTTTTCATCCATCTCTAAAATCCATTTGTCCTCTTCATTGGCTTCTTTAAAGCTCAAAGACTCAATGTCACTAAGTAAGAAAAAATATTTTTACCTTTTGACCTTTCAATTTCATATCAAATATCCTAAAGACTTCAATATCTCCTTTAGTATTCACTTGATCTTAATGAAAGAGATGATAATGGTGATAATACATGGGAAGAACTAGTAACATGATATGAGATAATATTATCTAGGACTTATTAGACAATTGAATTTTCATCTATAAATTGAGGAATGAATTATGATAAGATCCTTCATCTTGAGCACTTCAGTCTCATAATGCTTCTTATTAAACTTACTATTGCAACCAATTATGGTATTGTTATTTTTTTGATTGACCAACTTGTAGTGTCTTGAACCTTCATCATAGCTAATGAAGATGATATTCTCATTTCTATCATCAAACTTTGGTCTTTCTTGCTTTTCAACATGCATATAAGCTACTGTTGATTATCTCAGGATTTGTTTAAAATTTTTCTTGAAATTTAGTCTAGTTTTTAGCTGATTATTAGGAGATTTGATTTTATCTTTTTGTTTCAAAAAGTAGCTATTAGTTTATTCTTATTCTCCAATGATTTTAGCAACATTTTTTGTCATTTCCTTTCTATTTCAGTTTTGCTATACTTCTATATATTTGAAGCTTGAATTCAATAAAAATCCAGATTTTCTAAATAATTTTTCTGCTTGTGCTTATTTACAAATTAACAGCTACTAATTAAAGACTTTTAAGCACAAGATGTTTAACTTCTTTCTAGTCCATACTTTTTTATTATTATATCCTTCAAGCTATTGGTTAGAGATCGATTAGAAAGGTATACTATATACATATACAACTATTTTAGCCTAAAACTATTTTAGCATTTTTTGTTTTTAAATATGGTTCTCACATTTTTAAAGATTACCCAATTCCCTTTTGATGTCACCATCTTATTTTCTCCTAAACATTAAAAGTGTTGTTAAAAGTTTTGTTGGTATTTTCAAGATTTAAATACCTACAATAATAGAGTTTTAATATAACTTTATTCATAGACTAAAGGTTGAGCATTTTCTATTGTTTGGAATTGTTGAGACATGAGAAGAATCTTGTTTGTCTTCATCCTTTAGTTACCCTCATCCATCAAAGTTTACTTATTGATGGCCATAAAATATGATACTACTTCTTTAGGTTTTCAATCCTTCAAAGCCCTAAAATTGCTGACACCAAGGTCTAAGGAAATTGTTCTATACTTGTGATGTTAAACAAATGGATCCAAAGGGTCCTTTTTGCATGGAAAATTAGTTAATAGGCTTTAGAGCTAGTGTTAATTTTTACTTCCTTTATATGATAGCACTATCAAGGAGGACAGAAGAGATTCCCACTACCAATATGGATAGGTATATAATCACATAATACTGGTTTTTATATGTAGCAAATAACTAAGTACGAAATCACTAATCACATATATAGGTCCACATATGTACTTGATCACTTGGTACGAGCGAAGGGAGGGTAACTTGCAATAAGTTACAAGAGGTTTGATGGCCAAGAAATAAAACAAACTTACAAGGACAATCCCATGAGAGCTCACAACAATATGGGAGCTCACATGGAAGCTCATGGTCTCAAGAGAAAGTTCAGCCATGCATTCTCCTATAATTTAGGACACATGACTAAAAAAATATGCATGGAGGAGAGTCCCATCCGAGAAAGAATTCCTTCCCATGAGAAATTTTTCTCCATTATTCTTCTCTTTATACAAATCGGCTACAAGGAGTCTTATCCATAAAGAACTCAAGAGATCCATGTTAGAATAAAAATACTTTTCAAATAAGTAAATCTGTAAATCTAAACACGTAATCTCATACTGAATCAATGAAAAATAAATAAATAGAAGTGTACCTTGATTCATTATGGAAGATTCGATTGCATCCTGCAGTAGGTACTTTTAAATAAATAAGATGCCTCAAAAGCTAGTTTTTTCTAGTGAAAAAATTTTAGAAAAATAAATAGTGATCTGATAATTCGAGGATCATAACTGCCTTTTATATCGATAAACTTTTATAATTTTCATTTCGTTCATCATAAAATAAAAATATTACAAAAATGATATCAGCATATTACAAGATCATACTTAAGTCTGATAGATTAAGGTCTAATACTATTTAACTGTATTTGATCACTTTTAAATGAGCCCAAAAATTGATAGTTTGATACGAATGTCGAGGCCCGCATTAAATTCACATGTTAAAAAAAATCTAACAATCTCCCACTTGAGCTTTATGTGATACCTTAACTATGCACTAAATAATCGTAGGAGTATTCAAAACTATATTATCAATACATGAATACATCACCAAATAATTCTGTCCATCAATCATAATGACATAGGATCAAAGCAGCCTTCTCTATAGCTATCGTAGCTAAACCCATCAATGGTCATGTATATCAATAACCAAAAAGCATGGATCAAAGATGGATATGCAACATGAAAATTACATGTTATATGATCTAAGCATGCCTATTTCCAACTGGTTCGGCCTTAACTTTAGTGAGATCAATTGTAAGAAAACTCATAGATAATATATATAAAGAAAACCAAAATACAAAAATCGAAATGAAACCATATATACATAAACTAAAACCAAAACTAGAGTACAAAGTTTATGACATGTCTTAAAATATAAAAGCAATTAAGGGAGAAAACTCCTACTGAAACTACACATCATCTAGGGATATAACACCTATATGAGTAGTGTACTCATAAAAGAAGTTACGTGGTAATTCCCTAGTGAGCATATCTGTAATCATAGAGTTTGTTCCAATGCACTCTATCGATATTTGCTTACTCTAAACTCTTTCTTTAACAACGATGAACTTGATATTTATATATTTTGACTTTGTCGAGCTTCTATTATTGTTGGAATACATAACTACAAATTTATTATTACAAAGTAATTTTAATAGTCTTTCTATGTCATCAACAATATGCAGCCTAGTGATAAAATTCTATAGTCATATTCCATGATTGGATGTCTCATAACAAGCTACAAACTCTGTTACCATAATAGAAGAGAATACAAGTGTTTGTTTAACACTCTTCTAGAAAATATCTCCCCTAGTAAGCAAATAGATATAGCTTAATGTAGATTTTTTATTATCTTGACATCTGGCGAAATCGGAATCAGGATAACCAATGATCTCCAACTAATATGACCTCTTGTATGTGAGCATATAACCTTTTGTTCTTTGTAGATACTGAATGACACGTTTGACTACTTTCTAATGATCCCTACGTAAATTGCTTAAATATCTACCTAATATCCTAACAATGTACGCAATATCTGGAAGTGTATAAACATGTGCATATATAAGACTCCCTATAGTTGAAGCATAAGGAATCTTTTGCATCTCGCAGTCTTTAACTCATTATTGGGGCATTGACTTAGAATAAACTTATCTTCTTTAGACACAGGGGAGTCACCTGGTTTACAATCCTGCATGCTAAACTTTTTAATAGCCTTTTCGATATAGCTCTTGTGATAATTTAAGAATACTCTAAAAGCGATCCCAGTGTATTTGAATCCCTAATACAAAAGAAACATCCTCAACATCTTCCATATCAAATTTCTCTATCAGAAATCTCTTGATTTCGTGCAATAAACCTATATCACTACTGACAAGCAGTATGTTATCGATATATAAAATCAGAAAAATATACTTACTCTCACTGAACTTGTGGTATACAAAATCTTCCACTAAATTCATCTCCTAATCAAACGAGATAACAACTTGATGAAATTTGTAATACCATTGACAAAAAGCTTGCGTAATTCCATAGATAGATTTCTTTAGTTTGCAAACAATTTGTTGTGCATCTTTGGATACAAAGTTTTATGGTTACACCATATAAA